CTATATGTCGTACTTCGCGGGCATCAATTTTATGCTTTTAAAGTACGTCACTATTACTATAAGAGTATAACCATTATACTTATTTAGTATGGACTTACTTTAAACTAAAAACGCATTATTTCATACTTTAATAGGTAAACGAAATTATATACTATTAAAGGATAAAACAGTTTGGTGCTAAAATAGTTAATTTGTTTTTTCCGTGTGAGATCCTGATCAATTGTCCGGATGTATGTATGTGTGTGTGGATCCCTTTTTTGTTTAGAAGATAACTTTAACAGGTTTTAATGGATTTACATAAAATTTGGTAGGCTCATTTATCATATTAATATCTAAAATCTGACGAAAGGATTTTTAAAAATACCCAAGAAAAAAAATTTTATCGTCTTTTTTCCAAAAATTTTTAAATAGAAAAATTTAAGGTTATATATAATAAAATCGTATTCTATACGTGAAGACCAATCGATTGGTATATATAAAGTATAGTTTCAATTTAAATTTAAAGAATTAATGAAAGTTAAAAAATCAAATATTCACATTTTGTCAATAAAATTTTGTGACTTTTTAAATTGAAGTTTATATATGAAATAATTGTATTCCTTGCATGAAAACGAATCAATTGGTATATATAAAGTATACATTTGAAGTAAATTTAATAAATTAATGAAAGTTAAAAAACAATTCCCATTTTAGCTGAAAAATTTTGTATTTATTTAAAATCAAGTTTAAATATAAAATAATTCTGTTCCTTGTATTAAAACAAACCGATATAATTGTAAATAATTATAAATTATACATTATTTTTTATTAATTTTTAGAAATTTCAGCTAAAATGTAAATTTCTGATTTTTTAACTTCCATTAATTGTTTAAATTTAACTCAAATCTATAGGTACTCAAATGTTTAGATTATTATTATATTATTTTTGTATGTTTATTTCAACGTTAATGCTTTCTCCACGAGGAAGAAAATTTTTTTGCTGATCGTAAAGAGGAAGCAAAATGTTCATGTAATGAACATCTGAATTTACAACTTGTTATTTTAGAGATTTATTATTCAATGATTATAAGAGCTGGTACAGAAACCTTTGGCCTCATGCAAGAAAAGCTAATTCAGATATTAAATATTTTTCACAAATTAGCTTCGAAGATAAAAGACCTTGGTTTCGTGGTTATGATGCTCCCAGAAGGGCAATCAATGCGGTTACTAGGCTGAGAACTTCTCATGTGTTCACTGGTGAGCATTTTAACAATATGAATTGAAGAATTGACGTTGGCTGTCAATGTGGAGTTGACCTGAAGATCTTGAGACATCTTTTTAATGAGTGCCCAATGCTCTCAAACGGAAGACCGGCTTTTTTCAGTTTTTTGTCAACAAAATATCCAAATTTTAACCCTGATTCTTTTGACTTTTCGGCGATTTCTTTTTTGTCAAATGTTGATTTTGTTCTAGGATTGGGTAAATTCATTCATTCTGGAAATGTGATTATTTAGTAAACTTGTTAATTTTGTTTTTAGTTATTATTAATTTAATTATAAATTTAAATAAGCTTGGCGGAGGTCGAAAGTCATGGCTTTAGCCGGACAAGATTTCCACTGTTTGGGCCAAAAGTGTGTTGAAAAAATTTTTAACGGAATTTCATGAAACTTGGTACACTAAGGTTTTTAGGGTTGCTGATTCCAAATCTGACATCAGTTTTTCAAAATTCAAAATAGCGGATCCAATATGGCGGATTGAAATTATTAAAAATGTGCGGATTCGATTGAGAGTGGTTACTCGGGGTTTTTTGGGGTCGCTGATTCCAAATCTGACATCAGTTTTTCAAAATTCAAAATGGCGGATCCAATATGGTGGATTGAAATTCTTAAAAATGTGCTGATTCGACTATTGCGGTATTGGATCCGCCATTTTGAAAAAATGACGTCAGATTTGGAATCAGCGACCCCAAAAATCCCTGAGTAACTCCTTTCAATCGAATCCGCAGATTTTTAATAATTTCAATCAGCCATATAGGATCCGCCATTTTAAATTTTGAAAAACTGATGTCAGATTTGGAATTAGCGACCCCGAAAACCCCAACTAACCAGTTTGAGGAATATTTAAAAATTTTTGATCACTTTTTATAAGTTGAGCATATGTACGTCAAGTGCACTCTTGTCCAGTTTTAGTTTTACGCATACATGCGTCAGCGACAGACAACGGGTTAATACTAATACTGGATTTGACTTTTACTTATTATTTAAGCCAAGTGAATAAGTGTAATCGGATTTGACTTTTTTTTGCAATTTATAAATATTATAAATAAAGTGAAATAATGTTAACCAACTATTTCAAACTTAAATATAGTTTTTGAGATAAACTTAGGAAAATTAAGTTCCCTATATGGTTACAAGTCTATAGTGTTTTGCCTATCTGCATTGCAATAGGCCATAGAATAAACAAAAAAATAAACTTCATTTTTTAATAATTTAACACAAAATTATGTATTTCTCAGAGAACAGCGAGATTTCTTGAACTCAAATCTATTATCCCTCAAAATTTTAGACAAAAATCTTTTTTATTTTAGAGTAAGACGTATACTACCAAAACACATTTTCCCATACTAGGTCACGTGGAAGTTCCCACATACCCTTAATAACACAGGAATACACGGTTTTGGACTCGAGCAACGAAAACCTCTTCCTAATGTAAAATTTAACTCTGATTTCGAATCCAAAGTCCGTTTTTTTACTACTCGTAAGTACTACTCGTACTTATAAAAAAGTCACAACTTTATTTAAGGTGTTTGGGGTCGCTGATTACGAATCTGAAGTCAGATTTTTAATATTCAAAATGGCGGATCCAATATGGCGGACGACTTTTCTTAAAATCGCTTTAATTCACCTGAAACTTGTTACTCGGGGGTTTTTGGGGTCGCTGATTACGATTATGAAGTCGGATTTTTAAAATTCAAAATGGCGGATCCAATATGGCGGACAACTTTTCTTAAAATCGCTTCAATTCACAAGAAACTTGTTACTCGGGGGTTTTTGGGGTCGCTAATTACGAATTTGAGGTCTGTTTCTATAAATTCAATATGGCTGATCCAATATGGCGGAAAATTTTTTTGAAAATCGATTAGTTTACCTGAAACTCGTTACTATTGGTTTTTTGGCCACATCGAGATCAATATGTACCAGGAGAACAAAATGTCAAAAATAACCCACTGGTTGATCCAAATGACGTTTTTGGTCCTCCGTTACATTCCAAACTGGGACTTATAAAAAATTTCGTTAAAGCTCTCGAACCAAATGGTGCAGCTTTTAAATACTTAACTAAGCTCTTTCCCAAAATTTCGTACGCTAAAATTAAAGAAGGCATTTTTGTGGGACCTGACATTAGAAAATTAATGAACGATAAACAGTTTGATGAATGTTTAACGACTGCAGAAGCCGCAGCATGGTCCTCATTCAAGAGCGTGGTTCATAATTTCCTCGGTAACCACAAAAGTGACAACTACAAGGAAATCGTCGGTGATTTATTGAAAAATTATAAGAAAATTGGTGCTCGTATGTCGTTAAAAATACATTTTCTTCATTCTCACCTTGGTTTCTTCCCCGAAAATCTGGGTGAGACCAGTGACGAGCAGGGTGAACGGTTTCACCAAGATCTGCAGAGAATCGAGAAGAATTACCAAGGTTTTTGGAATGAGGGCATGATGAGGGACTACTGCTGGACTCTCTTACGTGAAACGGATTCAAAACAATATAAACGACGAAGTACTACCGCACTTCATTTTTAATGGTTCATTTTTTTTAAAATAAAATGTTTATTTATGGTTTCAAAAAACAAATGGTAGCAATTTCATTTATTTCAAATCTGACTATTAATTTAAAGCGAACTAGGTATTCAAAATTAGTGTCTACTAAGGTTAAAACAGAACATTTTAAATATATTTTTAATTTATAAGCTATACTGCATACGCCATTTTGAAAATCTAATGTCTTATTCGTAATCAGCGACCCCAAAAACCCCCGAGTAACAAGTTTCAGGTGAATTTAAGCGATTTTAAGAAAAGTTGTCTGACATATTGGATCCGTCATTTTGACTTTTAAAAATCCGACTTCATATTCGTAATCAGCGACCCCAAAAACCCCTGAAAAACAAGTTTCAAGCAAATCCAATTGATTTTTTATTTTTTTCCGCCATTTCGGATCCGCCATTTTGAATTGACCTATATTTATTTTATTAAAATAAAAAGTTATGATTAATATTGTATTGTATTTACTAAAAAAATCTTATACATTTTTTAAAAATAAAACAATATAAATTTTACAATACATATGAGCGATTTCACGTGAAATTTCCGTCGACCCTTTAAATTCGGCCAAATATATTTTTTTCTTGTTCTGTAGTGAAAAAAAGAGATACGTAATTTTCTATTTTTTTTCTGAAAAATTTTTGAGTTATGAATTTTAAAATTTCAGTTTTTTTAATGTAGACCTATTTTCAATGGCTGATAACTCGAAAAAAATGGATTTTTTCAATTTTTGCGAAGAGAAGAAAAGTTTCAGTTTTTCTTTTACTTTTCAATAATGTTAACAAACAAATTTTTTTCATTTTTTATTACAAAAGTTACAATTTTTTATAAACAAATTAAGTTTTTTTTAATTTTGATATGATTTTACAAAAATTTTTTTTAAAACATACCTGGAAATCATAAGAGGATTTTGCAAAAAAATTTATAGTGGGCCGATAAGTTTTATAGGTTTAAATAAACATTTAAACAACGCGCGCAGCATTTTGCTCATTTTTGAAAATTAAAAAAAAATTGTTAAAAATTGTTATTTTTTATTCATAGTGAAATATGATTTCAGGTTCCAAAGAAAAAGAAAAAAAATAATTTTTAACAATTTTACAATTTTTTGTAATTTGCACATTTCTAAAAATTACAAAGAATTGTTAAAAATTATTTTTTTTATTTTTTTGGAACCTGAAATCATATTTCACTATGAAAAATGAAAAAAAAAGAATTAGTTAACATTGCATTTGTTTATTAACAATCTACTTATCCAAACTACTTCATATAGAGCTTGTTGAATTTTATTTAAAAATAAAATATCTTATCACCATCGTGTAGCCCGTCAGAAAAGCTTTAAAAATCATTATATGTATATATATTAACTTTTATGCATTCTACTTATAAATATTGAACATTGAAAAAATTTTTTTTTTCTAAAGTAAAAAATTAAAAACGTTGTAATTCAATAACTATTTTATCAAATTCAATAATAACTGATTTTTAGACTTTTACCAAGAATGACAATCTTTTAGAAAAGTACGGATTAAATTCGAGAACTTTTAATTTTTTGTTCGGACATTTCAGGAATTTTACCTCATATATGCCATTATTACACTTTGTAAATGTATATATAATATACTTAACAGTATAAATCACGTGCATAGATAATAAGTCCGCTTACATAAGAATGTTACTTTCAATTGAACGATAAATAATCAACTAGACATATTTAATCATTACTATCATTGATAATGATGTATATACAAAAAAATCCAAGAATGAAACCATTCATAAAGCATTAGTAAAGTAAACGAGAATGCTCCTGCCGTATCATTTTTCCTTCATCTCTCTTGATGTGAGTGGTTGCCTACCTACAGGAGAACTAAAAATAATTGTTAAAAATTAAAATGTAACAATTATAATAATAATAATAATAATAATAATAATAATAATAATAATAATAATAATAATAATAATAATAATAATAATAATAATCTATTGAATAGAATAATTAAAATCATAACTTAGATAAGTTACGATTTTTAAATTAAATACAAATTAAAACATAAATAGGGTAATATGGGGTAAATGTAAACAGAATATCTATTTTTCACCAAAAACATAAGTTTTTTATGTTAAACGGTAAAACTGCTGGATTTCTTTTGCATGAACTTGTTACTTGACATCCCTAAAAAAATTTTATGGGGTGCAAAAAAATATTAATAAGCTTGAATCGCATAAAACTGACTGTTTTCATTTATCCCGATATTTTGAAATTTTCCTAAAATTCGGGGTAAATGTAAACACCACTGCAGCTAAGAAAAAACAAAAAAAGGTATCTCAAGTATGCTGTGTATTAAGGGATGGAAAAACTGAAAAAATTCGTAGTAGATGCCCAAGTAGCACGATATATCAACCAGATGTCACGGTGATATCACCGGGGAATGTCACCGTGACATCAGGAAAATGTCAAAATGTCCGCCTTACGGTGATATCACACGGTGATATCATGGTGACATCAAGGTGATATCATGTTGATATTTTACAGGGACTTAAAATTTTGAATAATTTAAAAAATAATAATAAATAAAAATAATAATAAAAATAATAAAAAATAATAATTTTTAAAAAATTTTAAATTCCTGTAAAATATCAACATGATATCACGGTGACATTCCCCGGTGATATCACCGTGACATCTGGTTGATATATCGTGCTACTTGGGTTTATTGTAATTCAATGCATTACATAAAATCAACGATACCAAAGCTAGTAATGTAAAAACTTGAATAACTTGAACAAATTTTAATGGATTTCCATTAAACTTGGTTAAGAGAAGGTTTTAGAGGTGAGCTGAGATTCTAATATTGTCGTCGTATTTAATATTAAATCTTTAAATTAATTTCAAACATAAACTGTTTACATTTACCCCAAATGATCCTATCTAATTAATTTTTTATAATTAGTTACAGAAAATTAACAATGATTAATTTTTTTTTATTTAGGTATACAAGGTAAATAAATAGTTTTTAATTTTAATCGACAAAATTTTAATTATCTTTAAAAAATTAAATTAAAAAGAAATTTACATACCTTAACTTTCAACAAAGTGACATTTTTTCAAGCGATAATTTTAATTAAACAAAATTTCAGTTACGCCTGTAAGGTAAAATCTGCTTCCTGCAAAAAATATATAAATTTATTAATTTGATTGTACTATTTTTATTTAAAAAATTTGTGACGCGATCTGAAGACAGGGACCTTACAAGCAAATAAATTATTGATTATGTTTACGACAGATTTACTTAAACTATAAGTTTATTTTTGTTTTTGTAAAACTGAAATCAGTTTTTATTAAATATTTTGGTTGTAATGAAGACCTAAATATCATTAGTTTGCATTCCGATTTGAACGTTCATGTATATTTTCACTTTAAGGCCAGGTGCAACTAAAATGTAAACAAACATGAAAATGTACATAATTATTGACAAATTTGCGACAGCCTTTTTTCAAATAGAAAAAAAAATTGTTCTTTCTCTATGTGAAAATGAAAAATTCATATATAAAACTACAGCCTGACACCTTCCCGCGTGAAAAACGAACTATGGGAAAAAGCTATGAAAAGCTGACAAAAGATGGGAGAAGATTTTCGCCATTGTTTTTAAGTTTTATCCCATACTTTAAAGAATTGCAAAAAGCTCACAAAACCATTGCTTATGAGCCTTTTCCATACTTTTCTTTAATATCATATAACATTGCTAAAATCTTGCCAAACTATTGCAAAAATATGGGGATAAAATAAAGTCAATTTTTTCTAACTTACTTCTTATTTTTCTCATTTTTTCATCTTTAAAAATTAGATTTTTAAAGTATTGCTAAAACCTGGCAAAAATATACGAACAAAATTAATCAATTTTTCTCGTTATTTTAGCTTTAAAAATATGATTTTTAAAGTATTGGAAAGAAAAATCAATTTTCCCATATTTTTGCAATACAAATAAATAGAGGAAAATTGATTTTTTCTTTCAAAATCTTTTTCCCATATTTTTGCAATACTTTAAAAATCTAATTTTCATTGTTGAAAAAATGAGAAAAATTGTTTTTTTTCTTTCCAATCTTTTTTCCCACATCTTTGCAATACTTTAAAAATCAAATTTTTAAAGTTGAAAAAACGATAAAAATTTCTTTTTTCTCTACCAATCTTTTTCCCATATATTAACAATAGTTTGAAAATCTAATTTTTAAATTTGAAATAATGAGAGAAATTGATTTTTTCACCACCAATCTTTTTCAAATACTTTTGCAATACTTTAAAAATCAAATTTTTAAAGTTGATAAATAGAGGAAAAATGATTTTTTCTTTCAAAATCTTATTCCCATATTTTTGCAATACTTCAAAAATCAGATTTTTAAGAGCATTTGAACCTTCGTGACATCACAAATCATGGCGCATGACACGCAAACTTCTCAGGTATGTGAAAAGCACAATTTTGAATATTTTTTAAAAAAACCTTTTGGAAAATGTTCAGAATAACATAGACTCTGTCTGTTATGTGCGGAAAATTCAAAATTTTGCGTTTAAAACGTTTTTTAAACAATGTTAAGGTCACAAATCATGGCGCATGACACGCAAACTTCTCAGGTATGTGAAAAACACAATTTTGAATATTTTTTAAAAAAACCTTTTGGAAAATGTTCAGAGAAACATAGACTATGTCTGTTATGTGCGAAAAATTCAAAATTTTGCGTATAAAACGTTTTTAAACAATGTTTAAGTTGGTTGTCACAAGTAAGGAAAAATACACGAATTGCTTATATGTAGGCATTGTTTAAAAAACGTTTTAAACGCAAAATTTTGAATTTTCCGCACATAACAGACAGAGTCTGTGTTAAGGCGCTCTCACACCTTTTTGGCTGCCTGCAGGTTACCATGGCAACGCATGAGAGTGAGTGCGACAGAAAATTTAAAAATTTGAATATTCAAATTTTCTGTCTCACTCACACCCGTGCGTTGCCATGGTAACCTGCAGGCAGGCAGGCAGTCAAAAAAGGTGTGAGTGCGCCATTATTCTGAATATTTTCCAAAAGGTTTTTTTAAAAAATATTTAAAATTGTGCATTTCACATACCTGAGAAGTTTGCGTGTCATGCGCCATAATTTGTGACCTTAACATTGTTTAAAAAACGTTTTAAACGCAAAATTTTGAATTTTCCGCACATAACAGACAGAGTCTATGTTATTCTGAACATTTTCCAAAAGGTTTTTTTAAAAAATATTCAAAATTGTGCTTTTCACATACCTGAGAAGTTTGCGTGTCATGCGCCATGATTTGTGACGTCACGAAGGTTCAAATGCTCTTAAAGCTAAAATAACGAGAAAAATTGATTAATTTTGTTCGTATATTTTTGCCAGGTTTTAGCAATACTTTAAAAATCTAATTTTTAAAGATGAAAAAAAGAGAAAAATAAGAGGTAAGTTAGAAAAAATTGACTTTATTTTATCCCCATATTTTTGCAATAGTTTGGCAAGATTTTAGCAATGTTATATGATATTAAAGAAAAGTATGGAAAAGGCTCATAAGCAATGGTTTTGTGAGCTTTTTGCAATTCTTTAAAGTATGGGATAAAACTTAAAAACAATGGCGAAAATCTTCTCCCATCTTTTGCCAGCTTTTGATAGCTTTTTCCCATAGTTCGTTTTTTACGCGGGTTATTTGACTAATAATATGAATAATATTAATAATTATAATAAAATGAAAATTACACTCCGTGCGTCTGATATACACAAATGGTTATTTTTTCGTAACCTTGAGAAAATTATTGTTTCAGTGTAATTTTCATTTTATTATAATTATTAACATTATTCATATTATTAGTCAAATATGGTGTTAGGCTGTAGTTTTATATATGAATTTTCCATTTTCACACAGAGAAAGAACAATTTTTATTTTCTATTTAAAAAAAGGCTGTCGCAAATTTGGCAATAATTACGAACATTTTCATGTTTGTTTACATTTTAGTTGCACCTGGCTTTAAGGGTATGTGGGAACCTCCTACGTGATCTAGTATGGGAAAATGTGGTTTGGTAGTATACGTCTTACGCTAAAATGAAAAAAGATTTTTGCCTAAAATTTTAAGGGATAATATATTTGGGTTCAAGGAATCTCGCTGTTCTCCGAAAAATACATAATTTTGTGTTAAATTATTAGAAAAAGAAGATTAAAAAGTGTCATTTTTAAACGAAAATGAAAACAAAGATGGCGGCGCATACACAGACGTTGCTTGAGTGTGTCAGTGCTCCAGTAAACGGCGCTAATTCGAGCGAGTGGCCGCTGAATTAACTATGATATAATACATTATTTTACTATTTATTGCTTTATTTTTATTATTTTTGAGTTATGTTACAGTAAATGTGAAGAACAGCGAGATTCCTTGCACCAAACGAAATCATTTTTTCAAAATTTTAACATGAAATCATTTTTTATTTTAGAGTAAGTTTCAAACCACAAAAAACGTCCTTTGCCCACATACCCTTAAGGCGCTCGCACACCTCCGGCTGCCTGTACAGGCAACCTCCCACCACGCAGAAAACGTACAAAATTAAGGCCGCACTCTCACCTCAGCTGCCTGCCTGCCTGCAGGAGTTGTCATAGCAACGTGTAGGAGTAACAGAGATAGTAAATTCAAATTTAAATCTACTGACTCTGATTGGCTCTCACTGGCTGCCTGTGCAGGCAGCCAGAGGTGTGACTGCGCCTTTATAATTTCAAAACGTAACCTATAATTTTTTGCTTCTAATGTCCCTTTCTTCAGATCGCGTAACATTTAGTCAATAACATAAATTATTGTTTTAAAAAATATTTCCATATGTCATAATTAATTGTTGAAATAAAAAATGAAAACAATTGGATATTTACATATTTAACGTAAGATAGAAAAATATCAAAGATCACAGTAATTGCATTAATGTAAAGCACACGATATTGCAGAGGAACAAATAAAAAATTTACAATCTGTGCAGGAGGGAAAAAACACCAATCTATCTGCAAACAAAGTAATAGTGTTTAATTAATTATTTGTTCATTATAAAAATTAATAACCAATTACATTGTTTATGAATGTATTTTTTAACAAATTATTATTATTATTATAAATGTTGAAAAAATTTATTAATCTTATAATTAATAATTTAATTTTTTATAATTTAGGGTCAGTTGGGGTAAATGGGAACAAAATCCCTATTTTTCAAAAATTACGTAAGTTTCTTGCTTTAAAAGGTAATATTTTAGGGTTTATATTTTTTAAAGTTGTTATTTACATTCCAAGGATTAATTTTATGCAGCAGAAAATAATTTAGATCAGCTTTAAACGCATGAAACTGACTGTCCCCATTTACCCCAAAATTTAGAAAATTTCATAAAATTTGGGGTAAATGGGGACAGCATGAAACGATTCTACGGAAACTACTCCACGGAATTCCGTAAAAATTATATACAGAATTCCGCAAAAATTTTTGAAAGAAGTTCTTTTGTAATTTTGCAAATTTTTTATAAGAATTACACACATAATCTCTATACAGAATTGCACAAAATTTTTGTTGGAATTGCACAAATTTTTTGTTAGAATTTCACAACTGTACACTGAAAAAAAATTAGCCGAAATCCTCAACTACCTTTAGTTAACTGACTTGAAAGTAGTAAAAGTAATTACTTTTTTGGTTATTTTAACTATGTGCGTGTAGTCAATTTAACTATTTTTTATGGAGTTAAGAATTAGTAGTTAATTGTACTTAACAAAAGTAGTTAAATCAACTTCAAAAATTAGAACAATTACAAAATCTCCTTGACCCAACTAAATTCTTAGTTCTTTTAACTACTTTTTAATAGTCCATACAACTTTTTAAATTCAGTTAAGGACCTATTGAACTATGCAGGGTAGTTAAAAAGTAGTCAAATCTACTAATTTTTTATTGAGTGTATTTTTTACTGATTTTTTTGTAATTTTAAAATAACTGCTGGTGGATGCACTGAAAAAAATTATTCGAGAAATTCAACTACCGTTAGTTAGTTGACTGAAAAATAGTAAATTTCTTTAGGAAAAGGTTTTATTGACCTCTCAAATAAGTTCGACTAGATATTAATTAATCTGTCATAAATTCTATATTATATCCACCAGGAACATCATCGTCGACTAGTTTTCGTTATAGTAGCAGCAGTTATTTTAAAATCACAAAAAAATCAGCAAAAAATAAAGTTGTGGAATTTTATTGAAAATTTTGTGCAATTCTGTATGGAATTCTTCCAAAAAAATTCGCAAAATTACGAAAGGAATACTTTAAAATTTTGCGGAATTCCGGATAGAATTTTTGCGGAATTCCGTATGGAATTTCCGTGGAGTGATTTCCGTAGATTCGTTTCACCTATAGATTCTAAGAAAGATTAAAGAAAAAAGTTTCCTTAAGTATATTACTCTATTAAAGGATAAAAAACTTTAAAAAAATTTATAGGAGATATATAACAGTTAAACCAATTGAAATTTTTTTAATTTTTTTGTTTGAGTATTTTGTCTCGCATTTGAAAAAAAAGCATAGTTAAATATCATAAAAAATTTTTTTCTTATTCCTCATGACTCCTATAATAGAAATTCACTTGAATTTTTGATTTTTGTCAATTTGGTTAATAATAACAAGCTGTTCTCATTTACCCCGAGTTTTCAAATTCTTGGGGTAAATGGGGACAGCTTGTTATTATTAACCAAATTGATAAAAATCAAAAATTTATGTGAACTTCTATTATAGGAGTCATAAGGAATAAGAAAAAATTTTTGTATGATTTTTAAGTCTGTTTCCTTTGAAATGCGAGACAAAATACTAAAACAGTTTGACTTTGATTTTTAAGTTTTTATGCATTGATTTGGTAACTTGAATTATCTTGCTGCCAATTGTCAAGATAAAAGCTTGGCAATACTCAGAATCTCTTGTAGGTGATCTGAGGTTAAAATATTGATGTTGAACTTAATTTTAAAACTGTAAATTAAGCTCCAACACCTCTTGTCCCCATTTACCCCAACTGACCCTATATAATCTTAATTATAATTTGTAATTATTATTATTTTTAACATTAATTATTATTATCATATATTTAATTGATTACAATGTACGGGCTTTCAAGAAAAAAAGTAAGAAAATGCCCTTTAGTCCAAAAGCACTTAATAGTATGAAGAAATATAATGAATTGAATAATATAATAATAATAATAATAATAATAATAATAATAATAATAATAATAATAATAATAATGAATAATATAATTATTTAACAAATTGTTGATAAATATTAATTAATTTTTTATTAATAAATTATTCAAACCTTCCAGGTGTGAAAAAATTTCTGTCGCATTTCTAAGTTGATTTCAGTAAGACTTTTGCGCTCAAGAAGTCCATGACCAAAGAAAAAAATTGTAAGACACGAAGGACTCGATATCATTTGATCGAGTATTGTTTTTTTAAAAATGGAAAGTATTTTTGTCCCAGGAAAACTTTTGTCTAAAAATCGATAGAAATAATGATGAAATGGTCCCTGTAAGAGGCCAACAGTTAACATATTTTTTGTTCGATTAAAATCATGATCAGTTTTACAAGATAACATGATAACTTTTTCTTGTTGACTGTCATTATAATTTTCTTTTGTACTTTCATTTTTATTTATATTAGTTTGATTAAAATATCCAGTTTTTAATTGTGCATGAATTTTATTTTCATTTTGTAATTGAATTATAATTGATTCATTAATAGAGGTGGGTTTTAATTTTATTGAATGATTTTGTCTTAATTTTTCGCCTTGTTGATGAATTACGTCTGCAATTGCCATCATTAATCCACAACTCGCTGTATTCGTGAATAATAGATATTTTCCTGAAAATTAAATTTTTTTCAATTTTTGTCCTTTTTAATTTTTTTGTTTTTTTTATTAAGATTTTTGCATTATTTTTTAGTTAATGTTTTTTTTTTACTTTAATTACATTAAAAATACACAAAGAGGCTGAAGAAAGTTAAATTAACTCATAACGTGTTAATTGCTGTAATTTTTTATTTTTATTTATATAAATAAAAATAATATTTTATTTGCAAAAAAAATATGATACTTAACAATTGCTCACCAAATAATTTGTTGAAAATGCCCATTTGTTTGGCATTAATTAATTCTAGTCAAAGTAAAAACAAATCTTTTTCAGATGAAAAATTAAAAGAAATCTTTTTCAGTTATAAATGAAAATTGAATCTATAGAAATTGTGAAGCTTATCTCAAATTTCTTATTCTTTGTATTTTAATTTTCTTTTTTTCTTCTTCTGGAAATTGAGAAGAAAATATTTTCTTTTCTCTTCAAATTAAAACCAAAATAAAGAAAAAAAGTTTTTTCTATCAAAATAAATTTTTAGTTATATAAAAGTGTTTTGAAGAATTTGTTCCTTGATCCTTTGATGTTTAAAAAGACGAAAAGTGGGTTTGCCACGAAACATTCCTTTGGGGATATTATAAATTAAATGATTGCTTTTTCTTTAATTCACAAAAAATATTTTTACTTTTTTATATATTACATTTTACACTGATTCGAAAAATAGAACTGACACCTGAAGTTCTTCTTCATGGATAAATAAAGCACTTAGTTGCATTCAACGTCACAGTTTGTTTATTATTTGCAGTTTTATTATCTCATAGTTTGTGTTGTGTTTTACATTGGAAAATTCCACTTGGAAGCCATTGACAAGTATTTTTTCAATACTGTTCTATTATTGATATAAAAATTCTCGAGTGGCGCCTATAAAAAATTTATTTGTCTAATTGATTTTATTATTATCGATAATAATCTCCTATTATATTAAAATATTTAATTTTCGTCTTCGTGACGTCACTTGGTCAAGAATTTTGGTTTATCACATAGTTTTTCAATCATTTATGTACAGATATGATTCAAAATTAAAATTTACATATAGATTAAACATATGAATTAGAAAAAAATGCTATTTTAATTTTTTGCAACTTTATGCAATTAAAATTTTTTTGCAAATTTTGAAACTATTTTATATTTTTTAGCAATTCACATGTAAAATGCGTCACAATTTTAAAATTTCATCAAGAATATTCATTTTTTAAAAGTTATCGTGATTTAAAATTTTTTTCAAATATCTCCTATTATATTAAAATGTTTAATTTGTCGTCCTCGTAACGGCAAATATGTAGCGATATTGGTGCAAGCGACAAAATGACCTCTTACGGCAAGCTTGCAGGGCAACTTTGGCGCAAGCTTGTAGGGTAGATGTACCAGTTGTGGCCACTTTCAGATTTATGTTGGTATTATTAAATTTCATAAAATTAGTATGTGTTCACTTGCTTTTGAGAAAAGTTGACATGGATTAATTAAAAATAGGGACGATTCTACTCGATTCTGTTTGGAATCGACCCGATTCCATCTTAAGAATCGATTTTTTTGAGTGTCGATACTTATTTTCGCGAGAATCGAGTATTCTGTTTTCTGTGTGACCATATGACGGTTTGTTTTTTACTGCGGTAAGTTTCAAAGTTGAGTTCTTTTTTTAATTAATTAATTCAATCAAGTAAATTATATAAAATTTGGTAAGAAAAGCTTGAAGTATATTATACAAACATATATATAAAAAAACTTTTTCATTATAATTAGTAATTGCTGTAGTGTCAATGTTTTCAAAAATTAAACTCTTATTCAATATAACCATCAATGACGACTATGACAAAACGATTAGAATCGCGTGACCGCATTTTGAAAAATAAATTTTCCGAAAAATTTAAAGCTGCCAAATATTATTTAATAACATGTGACAACTGGACCGACTGTTCAAAACAAAGTTATATCGGTATAACTATTTATCTTTTAAATGAGGATTTGCAAATGTAATCTGCATGTTAAGGCTGCATTCCTCTTTACGAAAGACACAAAGCTGATTATTTAAAAATTCTATATTGAAAATATTTAAAGAATTCAACATTTCTTTAGAAAAAATCACTGGTATAGTCTCGAATAGTACATTAAAATTGTCGGTCTCGAAAAGCACCTATTCTATTTTGCTCATGTCGCATCTCATCTTCTTCCCGATGTTTTAAAGCAGTTTGACACCTTGAACTCAATAATTGATGGAATAAAATCCATTGTGATACTTATAAGAAGGAGCACTCCAGCTAGTGGCAGACTTATAAAATCACAAATTAATAAAGGTAAAACCGAGGGATACCGTTCTTCATCTTATTCAAGATGTACAAACTCGATTCACAATGAAAGTGGACATGATTGAGAGATATATAGAATTAGAACATTTCGTTTATGCTGCCATGGCAGAATGTGACAATCTTATAGATATGTTAACAAGAGATGAAATGAAAATTTTAAGAGACATATTTCCGATGACGGAAGCAGTAAGGGATGTTATAACAGAAATAAGTGGGGATTTATATCCAACATGCAGCATTATTATTCTCATTGTACATTGTATGAAAAACAAAATTAATAACATTGTTCCTCAGACCGAAGTAGGTCAACAATTTAAAACGAGACTAAATAATTATATACAAAATAGATTTCTAAAAGTAGAATTTATACTGCTTCTAGCTATGCCCTATTAAAAAAAATCACGTATAATTATACTTGTCAATATTTTATAATATTTAGGTATATATTAATTTTCTATTTAAAAATTTTTGGAAAAAAGACGATAAAATTTTTTTTTTGGGTATTTTTCAAAATCCTTTGGTCAGATTTGAGATATTAATATGGTAAATGAGCCTACCAAATTTTATCTAAATCCATTAGAACCTGTTAAAGTTATCTTCTAAACAAAAAAGGGATCCACACACACACACATACACACACATACATACATCCGGACAATTGATCAGGATCTCATATAACATGTTTCTATAAAGAAAAAAATTTGTTTCCGGCACTTTGAAAAGTTTTATAAACGAAATGACTACAAAGCTTCCTCCACGAGGAAGCAAAATTGATCAACTGAATTTTATTTCGTACATTTAAAAACTGAATTCAACAGACCGTGCGCATTCAATTCGATGCATATGTAAGTATTTACTGTAATGTAATTACTTGTCACAGAATAAAGAGGTGTTCTAGCTAACCAAGCCCGTTACAAACGCAAGAAAAATACACAATATCATAAATAATAAATCCTATCAACGATCGTTATAGATACCGATAAGTAAGAATTTAAAACGTAATACATTAATTTTAAATACTCTCGAGTACCTTCACTACCTGGTACATGCGATTCTAATAAAGCCCAAATTTTTGGATTGCTGATATTAATAACTGACGCAAAATTCATCTTATCTTTTGGTGATAATTCACTCTGACTAAGGAGGTGTTTATCTCTAGAAACTAAATCTATTAATATTTGTAAATGCCCTGAAGATGCGAAAATCTCGCCTAAAGGAAGTATAATAGAATACTTCAATAATATTGACTTATATTTTGCTCCAATGTGCACTGTGTCTTGTGTGCAAATAAAACTGGGAAGAATAGTTGAATGAAAACCCGAAATTGTGTCGCATGCAATTGCGTCAAAATTTGAAAGCTTCATTCCAAGATTCATTTTATGTCGCATTGCTTTCAATAACCGTGTATCTCCATCTGAAGAGACACCTACAACTGTAAATCTTGCTGATTGAGTTGTGTAATTATAAATTTCCACCGATTAATTTTTGGCATTCCTTGATTATCAAAAGGAAGTACGAATCTTATAAGCTGATTACTTGAAGGATCATATTGAACGCGTCCTGTAATTCTAGTTGCGTCTTCGCTCAACCAAACTACAAAAGGTAGTTTTCTATTTTCTAAAAACTGTTTCAACTCTCTAGCACGGCAATCACCCTTAATCAGTGTTTTGAAAGAAACAGTAATTGTTCATAAAATTGTACACCGGATTATCTACGTCATTAAGGATAGTCAAAGCTTGTCCAATGGTAGTTCGTGAATCCCTGATTTCTTCAATTACATGAGGAGCCATAGATGTCTCATGATTGATTTTTACAAATCACAAAAATTGAAATAACATAATGAAATGAAAGATTAAAGTAATATTATCCGGTAATATTACATAGTAAAATTGCAGTAATATTACAGCAATATTAACCTGTAATAATGCAGAAATATTACAGCAATATTACGTGCTACTTGGGATGTAAATATATTTCTTACATACCTGTCCTAAAATTACTCTCTATGAATTGCTGGTTCCCTATAAAATTTTCAGTTTCCTGTATTTGACTTTTTTCCTTAGCGTGCATTTTGAAATGTTTGTAAAAGTTTGATAGTATCCATCTTTTTTTTCCACTTTCGTCATCAGCTATTCTCGTTATAATCTTCTTTTGATTGCAAACAGGGCAGGTTATATTAGCGACAAATTTTTTATCCTTCAAAGTAATTTCAATTCTAATGTCCTTTAACAGCAATAATGTTGATGGTTCAAAAGTACCATTGAATTTTTTTGACATTTTTGATACAAGTTTTCTAACTTAATTCTTTCCGAAACTGCTGCAGTTGCAGAAAATTTTGATATATTACTGTCCTTTTTTAGACTCCAATAGCTTGAAGGCGTACTTTTTATAACTGCTACCATTTTCTTAATTACTAATACATCACGTAAAATGTTTTTTACATGAAGGACTGACTGATCTGTCAGTGAGTATTTTGAAGTAAAAAGGGCTCGGTAAAAGATACAAACATTTTGCAAAAGGATGGGTTTTACAATTTAAACACTAAAAAAATGATTGGGAATTTTCAGTAACGACAAATTCTAAAATCGTATCAGAAAAGTGGAAGAAAACTTCATAAAGTTTGAGTCGCAGGTAACAAACTGGTAGATTCATGCTCACTTGTATGCTAGAATTAGTGTGCATCGTTGTAAAGATATTAAAAATTATATTACAGGTCAAAGTTGCAACAACTCAATCTGCTTTTCGATTGTGCATAGAGAAGTGAGATAGTCAGGTATATTCTTGTACGCAAGGAAAAGAGAAGGACAGCATGAACCCTGTTCTCATCTACTTCTTAAGAGGGAAAAGCGTTTGACTCATACATACTACATCGCGCGAAACTGAGCTCCACTGGAGACGGAGAACTTTCCGAAATACTAACAATGCTCCCAAAAACTCACCCGAAACTCACTTTTACTCATCGTTATTCGTCTATTTTGCACCGCTTCTACTACTCCCCACTATTCTACGCTATTCCGCCTTATTTTATGTTATTTTGTTAACTCGTTTTAAATTTCGTTATTCTCTGTACTCGAGAAATATCGACAGGTTAACATTTTAATCACAGAACTCCAAAAATATTCGTTATTTAAGCGAGTAAAATACTCGAGAGTGATCAGCCCCTCAGTATTTGTCAAGTTCTGACAGATTTTCATCCATGTTGGTCATGCTAACAATAAGTTTTTTCAACAAATATTAATTTTACAAATAAACTGTAAACGAACACGATTTAAATAGCGCTAGAAGAAAAAAATGTTTAAATTGAAATTAGCGATGAAAACATCAGTTAAAGTTGAAAAATTGGGAGAAAAATAAAACTTTTGAACATTTTTGTAATTTTTTTCTTAT